TTGGCACCAACATTTGTTAAGTCCCACATTCCACTGAATTTGCTGGTCTACAGATTTGAAAGAAAGCTGCCCAAATAACACGTGATACATCCTAGAGCTTGTCACGTGGAGAAGAGATGACCCAGCAGGCAGGGATTTTGTTTTGTTTTTTTTTTAATTTGTTTGTTTGATTCTGGATACACAAAAGAATTGTTAGAGTTTTACAAGGACAGATGGGTTCCAAAGATCTCTTGTCCTTGGAAATGTGCAGGCAGAATCTGGACAATCACTTGGAAGGGATCCTACGGGAATGGTCTGACTAGATCAGTATTTTCTAAAGCGGGGTAAGTACAGTGGTTTAGTGGTACAGGAATCCTTCCTTAGTTAATATTAAGTCACAGTAAGAAAGTCATTCTTTCCGATTCTCTTTCAGTTCTTCAGATTACAGGAAAGACATTTTGTAATATTTTGGTGCTAATGTGTATTTAGCAACTTGTTAACATTTGCTAATCCCTCTTTTTTTAAACTATGAGAGTGGGGGTCTCGGCTCTCAAAGCCTTCGTCAGGCAACTGTTATCAACTTAGAATTTTACATCATTGTAATTTATTATCTCCTTCACAAGGAAAGTAATAGGAGGTTCACATTTTTGGCAATGATTTAAGGCAATGGAAGAAAAATAGGTTGATTTAAAAAATTTTTAATAAGACTAGGGATGATGCCCATGTGAGAAAATTCTAGACTAGTTGACTTTGGGATGGAGATGCCATGACTCTATGAAAATCAGATTAGGGTCATGTTTTTAAAAATCAGATTGTCTCTTTCTTGTTGGGAGTACAGAGAACCAGCTTTAGTATCCCTTAGCAGTGGAATGGGAATTTGCTTATGTGTATTGTGTGAGTTGAGGGATGCGGGAATCTCCCTCCTCTGTACCCAACATACATCTTCTTGGGGATCATACCTTTGTATTCATGTATCCCCAGTGCCCAGCTCAGTGTCAGACAGAGTAAGAGCACAGTAAACACCTGTTAATGAATAAATGAATGAATAGGTGTTAAAGGATGAATTTCATCTGTTTTATAATCCTCCCTCCGGTGTGCCCTGACTCACAGCCTGGACACTGCTGCTGCTTTTACTGTTGCTGTTAACACTCCTCTTTCACCTCGTACTTACAATATGCCCAACTCCACAGAGATTTTCAAAGTTATGTTCCCCACTTTCAGAAAGCTGGGGTGACAGCAAAGATTCCTTCTGAGGTAACTGATTGAAGGGGAATGCCCAATTGAGTAAGAAAAGAAGAAAGCACTTGTTTTCTGAAAAGATTCAGAAGTGAGTCAGGTGGTAGTTTCATCTACACAGCACAACCAGATACGGTATTTAATGATTATCCAGTGAATTTAATCTGCCTAAGCCAGCCAAACCAACTCATATTTCTGGCATAAAATATCTAGTTTGGCTGCCTATCCTGACCAAATCAATAGAAATTGGCGCCAAAACTCCCTACTTTATTTTGTGGTGTGCTGGCATAGACATATTCTTCTTACTCAAAAAAATAGGTACTTGAGTACAAATTCAGCCATTAGGCTTTCTCCCAGCTTCTCTCTGGCAGCTTCTGGAATGCTACACACCAAGGATGTTTGGAAAAATTGGAATTTCAAATTCAGGAAAAGGAGAACGTGGCTTACAAGGGCTATAGAGGCATAACTCACAAACAGATGTTTCAAGTACAAAAATCCAACTTAGATTTCTCAGAGTTTAAATGTAACTTTAGTACAATTAAATGTATAGCATGTTTCCTAGAATCTTCCAAAACAACATGCTTAGTCCAAGAAATGCAGTAATGATTTCACGCATTTCAGTTTCTGTCTGTACAGACTCTGGGATGTTTGAACTTAGGAGTGCTAAATCTATAATGCATTTTCCCACTGGGAAATACCTTTCCATGGGAGCATGACCTCTGAGTTCTTCCTTTGGTGTTCCTGTCTGGTGTAGAAAAGACCAGGACAACTACTACACAATGTGGTAATACTCAGAAAAATGGAGAGGAGAGGCTTTCCAATAGCTATTTGTTCAGTTGTCAGTCAACATGGTGTTCGGGAGCTAATTCCACATTATGAGTTAAGCTTTGGCACAGGACTGCCACTGGTTAAGAAAGGCCACGTATGAAACACAGTTGTTAGCCTGGTGGGTGCACAAGTTTAGCAGTCCATTTCTCATAGTTAATAGCCCAGACATTCAAACTTGAGTTCCAATATTAGTAGCCCAAGGGTTGGAATGGGCCTGCAGATGTGTTGTGCTTGGCTTGCAGTGTTTCATTTTGTAAACTGTATCAAAAAATCTGGAGAGTCTTCTAAAAAATTTGGATTTCTAGATTCTCTTGAGAAGTGGGAAGATTTGGCCTTGTTGACACATGGCAACAACTGGTAGGAGCTGATTAGTTTTATACTTTTCAGATCCCAATAGTCTCTTTGCTTCCCTTTTGTCTACGTTATTCTGCCACTGGGTCTCTCTCTGCTTATCATGACATTTGCCCCTGTTATTTCTCCTGCTGAAGAGAAATATTCTCCACATTCATGACTCTATCAAAGTAGAAAAACAAAAAGTGGCCTGAAAGGGCAGCATCCTCACCCATTTGGCCACTGGAGACATCTGAGATTGCCTTTCTATTCTGAAATAATGGAGCCTGACTTTGTTCCCTCCAGACAACATACTCTCCAGTAACGTCTACTGGGACACACAGGGAGGCCCTGGGGGTCTGTATAATTCACAAGAATTCCACCCTCTTCATTCCCACTGTCTCATACATCCCCCTTTGGTTTAGAATGATTGTATTTAAAACCACGAAGGAAATTCTTATTGAATCAATCATTCATTCCATTTGATCCTAAATATCTAAATTACTGTGTAGTGTGGAAATCACTCCTTTCAGACTAACACCTTAAAAAGATCTTTGGCAAACTAAACTATGCCCCTCAGGCTCTCTGTCTCAACACAGTCCTGGATAAGAGCTAAGACTCTTAATGGTCCCACTTGGCAGCACTCCCAACTTGCAATTAGGTTACATTAAAAAAATTCTTCTTATATTGGTTTGTAGCTTATAATTCCTTTCTCTTTAACAACAGTGTTATAAATGCTGATAATTTCTTCAAGATTTGACCAAAAATTTTTCTTTAGCCATGCAAAGGGATTGCATCATAGTATTTTTTTTTCTGCAAAATTACTCAACCAAAGCTTTTAATTCTTTCAGTAAAGTTGATTATTAAGTAATAAAAACACCAGGAAATTCCACTTCAACGTAACTGTCAACTGGGAAGTAATACTTCTCTAACTGTATGTATAAAGGCTTTTCTTTTCTAAAGAGTAACACAGTGGATTTTTAGCACAATTATGAGAAAGCAGAAACCTCTAAGCATTGGTTCCACCCTTGAGAAAAAGTATAAAGGAAACCAGGACCTTCAGTTTGTGTACAGGAAAACTGCAGGCACTCAATCCAGATGCCCTGCCAGTAGGCATGGGGAAGAGAGACTCACTGCTCTACGACAGAAAATATCAGAACTGGATTCTGTCCCATAAGTGCTTTCTACAAAGAATTTGTTTCCTGGAAAAATGGCAGCACATGGATAATAAAGTGAGAATGTGCCCTCATGTCAGCATTTAATACAACTTCTGTGATAAGAACTGTGATTGCTATGGTTACCCCTAGTCAGCAATGGACCAGCCCAATTTCACAAACAAGTACCCCAAATCAACCCCATGACTATTTTATGGGCAATTCATCCTCCAGTGAAAGCTCCTGTACATGCAATCACTTGTTTAAGGCCCTGGACAAGTGGAAGTCAGCAGAGACCTGTAAGGCATTAAGGAAAAATCTGACATAATTCCTGTCCAAGTAATAGCCAGTCCTCCAAGGCATGTACTAGTTAGAATGTTGCCCCATGAGTTTTGAGTTGTACTATGAGGTTCTCATTATACAGAGATCTTGCAAGGAGAGTCTAACTATCTTTGAGAACTCCCTGGGAGGGGGAAAGATGCTCAGAGCCCACTCACTTAGAGGCAGAGTGGCCTGCCTAAGGTGGGGACGGTGAGCCAAGGGTGGAAAAGAGAACAAGGTCAGTAATACCTGAGTTCTGGGCTTTAGCTACAAATCTAGAAACCATCCTGCTGGGGCAGTGTCTATGGAAATTCCTTCTCCAAGTCAGAGATATGCTGTGGGGAAAGAGAAGAGTGGGCAGGAAGGAATGTACAGTAACATTTTTCTGCAACTTCTTGGCTCCGTCTGTATTCACCAGTCACATATGCTAATGACTCTTTAACCTTCTCCCATGCAGGAGTCAACTATTATCTCACTGTCATAGAAAATAGAATCCTACCCTGAAAAGCTTCCACTTGTTAAAAATCCAAATGTCGACTGATAAAATATCCAGATGGGGAAATCTCCCACCCCCTCCCCATTCTCCCACCAGCGTAAAAGGTAATGGGGGTAGGGGGCAACTGGAGAAGGAAATAAAATCATGCGGGTACACCAGGAAAAGACACAGTGTTGGTGGCAGCAGAGTTGGTGAGTGTGTTGTGGGCATTACCTCTTGATGAGGCTTCCAAGAAGGCTCCCGCTCAAGTCCTGGTGGCTCTGAGAACAAGCATTCTTGCATCAATAGCTAATAGGCTGTCCAACCAGATGTTATCTGGGTGGGATAAGAGGGTGAGAAAACAGACCTGTTGTACGCTGTTGTCAACTACATCACTGTGGTCAGAGAAGGCTGATCGTGTGGTGTTTAGCAGGGCACCTCGTTCGTGGTGAGGCAGACCAGATTACGTGGCTGTTTAAATCCGTTTCCTCTTGTGATTGGTAAAATACGAGAGTTATAATCATTCATGCATTACTAAAGCCTCCTTTCCATCATTTTGAAGGGACTTTTTTTTTCTAGAACAGAGCATGCATCCAGCAGAAACCCAAAGCGTTTGCTTTTCTAAGCGATCTTTGCAATAAGCACACTTTAAAAAAAAACACAACTGCATATGGTACCTGTGACAAGACTGGAGATGATAAGCGGTAAGACCAGCATCTGTAACATCCTCATCAGAAGTTCCCCAGGAAAGGAGAAGTACTTGACTTCCCGGTAGCTCATTTTATATGGTCGGAGGGTAAATCCAAGGATTGTACCTGAAGGCAAAAAAAAAAAAAAGAAAAAAAAAAAGAAAGAAATAAAAATTGAGTCTTTTTTGAAACTGAAGCAACAGTCCTAGAAAAATGAGCAAGTATTTGGCTGCTGGTTGTATTCATTCAAGCAGCAAATATTTGTGCTGCTTTGGGAGGAAGGGGTGCATCTATCTTTGCAGGCATTATCTGAAAAGATCTGGCTGAATCCAGGGCTTCAAGTAGAACTTATAGGGAAAAAAAGTTTCTGGGTTGAGCAAATGAAAAATTCCTTTGTGTAACTTGAATGCAGTGGAGCCCATTTTGACATGGCTCAGTACAGAGTTACAAAGATTAGGGCATAATTAGGAAACAAATCATGCGTTCATGAACAAGGTGATATGGGGGAAAAAAAGGCCCTATTATAATGAAGTTCCTTTATAACAATAGATGTTAGAATTGCTAGCATAACCACTTATAAAGGGTAGCGTGATTTTTTTTCCAATTAAAAAAAACCTTATGTTCACGTTGTTAATCCATTTTCATCATCTTCCTGTCTGCACGCCGAGTTTTCTCCCTCTGACTACATGGTCTTGACATTGCCTTGGCAACTGTACTGTACAGACTTGTTAGTCGCTGGCAAGAGAAGACTCCAAAATGAGCAGAGACTTTTCTCCCAAATTTTTCCCTGAAAACTTAGCAGTAAATAGGGGAAAGAGAAAGTAATTTCCTCCTTAACATTCCTTCTGCTTCTGGAACTTTAAAATATTTTTATAATGATAATTTTACATGTAAATCAAATTATACATGATACCTTTTGTAATGTTCAGAATTAATAAAGATATTGTAATTAATAAAGGTATAAATTTACTCTCTCCCCTTTCCCTAATTTACTTTTCTTGCCAAAGAAAATTTACTTATTTTAGTATTGTAAATATTTTCAAATTTTTTGCTGTGCTATTATTACAAAATGTGTGATTTCATTTTTTAAAAGGTCCATATAAGTTATAGAGAAAAAGAAAATGCCCAGTACTAAGTTAACTAGAAGCTAGAGGTTGGCGGTGGAGGTGAGGGTCGGGGAGGAGGGAAGACTACTAGGAAGGCAGAGATTTTCCAGAAGAGGCAAGTCCTGCTTTCTGGAAACTGAAATATCTCTACTTCTTAGGAAATGGGCTTTTTCTCTTATGAAATGGGACTCAAAATTCATTTCAATTATCGCTGCAACTCCAATTTCAATTCTTGGGTCTCAGAAACCATGAAATATCTGTTCCTTGACTCTACACTGTGATATTCTAATTAGAGTCTGAAATCTATGGACTCTTATTAGCAGGACTAGAACATCCTGCTGACCCCAGTTCTCAGAGACTTCAGGAAAATATTTATTGCTTTTTTCCAGCGTAATGGTAATATGCTCAAGAGAGAAAAGGTGGCTTGGAAAATGCAGGAAAGTGGGGGCAAAAGCCTGCCTATGTCGGTTCTACCACTTAAATAAACAGCAAACAGCTAAAGCCTACTGAGCTCTCGATACACGCCGGGCATTGTTGTCACTCCTTTATTTGTATTAGCAAACTCAGTCCTCACGACAACCCCAGGAGCTAGGTACTATTTTACCACCAATTTACTGATGGAGAA